TACACCTACGTAATCCCTTTCCCCTCTAATCAAAATTTCAATCAGACGCTGGCCAGGCATGTAGCACCTGTCAGTCAGGTGTTGCACAGTGTAGTGTGGCGCCTTCGTGTCGGGCGCCACTCAAAAAGGTCAGCTGAGTGAAATTTTTTTAGAAGCAATTTATTTTGTGAAATGATTTTATTCATAGGTCAAAATTGTCAAATTTGCCCATAATGTGCCAAAGCAGCAGCATAAGCGCATGTTGACCTCCAGTGCTACGGTCAAGCGCATCCCGGCCGCGCACGACGCCGATGCCAAGCGTCAATGCGACCACGACGACAATGTCCATGGCAGCCCGGCCCTACGGCGTGCTTCGACGCTCCGACGAGGTGCTCGTGCCAGCCCGGCGTGCCTCCATGCGCCCCTCACACGCCAACCCTCCGCCGCCGGCCCGTACGACGCGGATTACTATAGCGCTCGCCACGCCGGCCGGTACGGGCCATGATTTGTGTGCAGATATGCATGTGTCCATAGTTTGAAATTTGGACTCAAACCGTGTTTGAGGAATGGATTGGATGGGTTTGACTTGAAAACACAAACAATTTGGTTTGGTTTGGATTCTAGCACTAATAGTTTGTATTCGTTTGGTTTGGCTGGTGGATTTGTGAACGTATGGGTTGGACTGGGTTTGGATTGGATTACACACTATTCCCAGGTTGAAAATCTTTATTCATGTGCCACCTGTGAGAACATATGCTATCTTAGCTGCCTTTGAGCAGCTTGGTCTATGTCATTAATAAGTGAACCTGAATCTTAATTCTTGTTAACACGAAATGTTCTTATCCTGTGATTACGTTTGTGCTGGTCCTGTGGTAGTTTTTGCTCATCATAGATATTTAGAACATCAGATTATAGTGTCTGTGCGCCCTGGCGTTCCACTCAACCTTGCTATTCTCTTCTTGTTTGCCGGTCTGGTCCCAAACGTCTGATGCATTCATTTTTGTTTGTTTTGTCATGTTAAGAAGGTAGATTCAGAGCAGCTGTTTAGTGGATAGTGTAGGTTTCCACCTGCAGACTGCAGTATAGGCTTGACAAGACTTTTTGTTTTCCTGCAGATATACATTTGTATTACATTTTTGTCTCTCCAGGTTAACAGGTGCTCAGGGACACATGCTGCCGCTGATTTGCAGCCGCTTTTTCTCTCGGTTCCTCCTTTTCTGCCACGCAAGTATTTTTTTTCCCTCTTGTTCCGAGTCATTTTTTTCCAAGTGTTTTTCTTATAATCTTTCTGAGTCTGTTATGCGGTGCCTCTTAAAAGCGGTTAAACCCGTAAAAAATAAGGCATTTACAATTTCAGTCGAAAGAACGGTCCCTAGCAGACCCCGTAATGTTTTTAAGGGGCACCAAGACTCCATCCGTGAGATCCTCATATGTACAAATTGAAAGGCAGTATACAGTTCAACCCGTAAACAATCAAACCTCGTTGGAGAAGATGCGCCGCCGCGGAACTGGCCAAATCAAAACGAAACTCGCCGGAATCCGTCGCTGCACATCGGAAAAAGTCGCCGCATGCCGGAATTTGTTGTTGCCGGTCCAAATTGTGGCCGGCTCGACCTTCACCTCCAAGGCGAGGCCGGCCACGGGCGGGGTGGAGCAGGCCGTTGGCGGCCCGACTCAAGGTGGGGCGTCGTCAGAGAAGGTTGAGAGAGGCGTAGCCGGGACGGGGGAGGCGCGGCAGGGGAGGGCATGGCCGGGGTGGAGTGCGGCGGCGGCGGGCGTGGCCGGGGCGCGGTCGGGCCAGGGCGTGCATGGCCGCTGCTAGACGGGCAGGGGCGAGTGGCGTCCGGGGGCGGGCACGGTCGAGGCGCCGTGCAGCGGGGGGAGCACGGACGGAGCGGGATGGGTTTGGCCAGAGCGGGACGATTGCTTGTTGTATTGTTCCAGATACAATTCGTAATATGGTATCTGTTCTTTTTCGGCCAAGTTTTGCACCGTAAAAACGGTATAAAGGGCCATTTAAACGTGTTTCTAAGGGTTGGCTTTTAAGGGATCTACTAAATGCTCTTAGGTTGGGCTCCCGTATGGTGATTCCTATAC